GACAAAGTGAAGTTTTGTGTGTTGGTGATTTCTTTTTCTACTATAAATGCCTCTGATGATGGCTCCGTGGTGAGCCGAAACATGTAAGGCAGGTGGTGACGAGGTGGAAAACTTAAAAAAGTGTCACATTTGACGGAAGGAACTTGATTGTTATATTTTGTCTATAAGAGTTTGTAAGAGATTCTCAACAGATTTTTCAAATTTGACATACACGCAAGGCATTTACTCATTGTATATTCAGTACTTAACAATGGAAGCAGTACCTTGAGAAGATTCAGTAGCAGACTCAGGTTAGCATACAGACAAACAACATACATTAGATCCTGCTCTGGGCACAAGATCTTCTTGGCGAGAAAACAAAATAGCAACTGCAAAGGAAGAATGTCATTTACTATATTGTGATCATATTTATTTCTGTCTTTGTGAAACCCTCACAACAAAACCCTGCACGGCTATGTAACAATTTAAACTATGAATCTAATTAATATTTCAGTAGAGCTGTCAATTTTGTTTAAGCTTCAGTGCTATGTAAAAAGGCCATTTCTCCCAGCCAAAAATACAAGAACCATAATATTGCCACTATTTTCAGATCCTTCCCTTTCTGGTGATCATGTGACAAATGTTAAAAAAAGGATAGATATTCAACATAAGACTCATTTTTATCTGTGTTTCTAATTTTCATTCGTTCTGGAATATTATTCTGAAAATTTATTGCTTCTCATATGTAAGTTTCAAACACTTTTCCTCCTAGAAAAGAAAAGCTGTACCTATATAATTAGGAGAGTGTACCAGTAGTTGTGAGCATGTGGTAGCGTAGTTGGGTGAGGCATTATGCTACAAGCCTTAAGGTGGTGGGTTTGAGCCTCAATGAAGTGGATTTTTTAATTTACCTAATTCTTCCAGCCACACTGTGGCCTTGGGGTCGACTCAGCGTCTAACAGAAATGAGTACCAGGAATCTTCCTGGGGTAAAGGGCAGCTGGCACTTAAGGGTGACAACCTCACTACCATCTGTGAGCCGATTGTCTAGAGAAAATATGGGAGCCTCGACATTTCACAACCCTATTGCAGGGATAGCCTTACCTTTACTTTTTTTTTTCTTTTGCCAACAGTTGCAAAGGGATACATGAGGAACAAAGTAATTATAAGTAATTATATTTCAAGTAGACAGTGAGCCAAGCAAGCACCAAGCACGACAAATTATGCAGAGAAAAATTAATGTGGAAATGGCCCAGAAACAACCACAGACTATATCCATAACAGTTTTCTGCATGCAATTTGCTCTACTTACTGATTGCTGCTATCTTGGCTTACTCTTCAGCCCTTAAGATAGAGATAGTACATTCCTCTGAAATGCCAGTAAATTTTACCAGGTTATGTGGCATAATGTCCCAGAAGATAGTGCTCCATGTACTCACTTGAGATGTAGACCTCAGATCTCATGAGGTGAATGAGATGAATATTATCCTGCCACCTGTGCCTAGGTCTTTCATCTTTTCTTATATGCTACCTGCACAACTCCTATCCACCTTGATTTTATCACCACAATGATATTCATTGAGAACGAACTATAAATCTCCTCATTTTGTAATTTTCTGTGTTCTCAAGTTACTTCCTCTCCTTATGTCAAAATGTTCTTCACATCATCTTTTTCTACAAACACCCTCAGACTTCACCTCTTTTTCTTCAAATAATAGGTTTATACAGATTCCATTACTATTCTGCAATGTAAATACCTGAATTATAATGATGTTAAGATTGATGAACTGCTTTTGTAGTTTTACTAATGATTTCTCAAAATGTATATATATTTTTGCTTGCATCACATCACCATGCATCAGTCCCATAAACACATGGCTGAAACATATTTATCAGTGTTTTAATTTCTGCAAGATGTAAATCCGAAATTTATCAGTTATCCTAATATGGAATAAAATTCAGACAAGCTTAGATTCTTAACAAGGAATGTATGGTAGGTGGCAATGCTGCACCTGGACAAAAAAAAATGGTAGATTGTTTAAACTATTTTACATTATAAAACCATTTTTATGAATAAAATATCTAGGGATTTATTATGCCATTGACATTGAAGATATCTAAGTTTCTCTTTGAAATAAGCATGCTTAAGTACTCTATGATTTGCAAGGCAGTGACGATGGTGTACAAAAATCATAACCTGACCAAGATTGTTTCAACTGTCTTTCTATTATTCAGTTAACATACTATACAAAGAACATAACATGACTTCAGAACTCATATTCTGAAGGGCTCAATGAAGGAAATGAAGGAACTGTTTGGTGTATACAAGTAAAGTAAACCCTTGTTGTATTGGATCTGGATGTAATAGACATAATCTGGCTGTATATGATTGTGAACTTTTAGACATGTTGAGGCACTAAGAAAATTTGTAGATAGAAAACTATTTCAAATAAGAACCCCAATATGAAAACCTTTATGTAATGACATTGGATGTTTCTGTGTTTATTGCATGAATTGACCATGTATCCTGTGGTGGACTTCTGTGAATATCCCTTCACTTGGTTATAGCAGACATTGGCAGTAACCAACACTGTCACCGTTAGTCTGTTATAATGTGGGTTCACTGTACATATTTTCTCTATAGCCATATGCATTAATACTGTCATGTGTTAGTTACTAGACATGGGGTTTGGATTGGTAATTGGATTTATTGAACACACAACTCATAACTACATGTAATTATAACACTATCTCTATTCTACACACTTAAGAAACCACTGCAGCAAATCTAAGTTTTCTCAGCCTGCTATGTTGTTACAAGTCATTGCTTGGTAACGCCTCCAAACACTGTCTTCTGCTCATGGGCTCATGCCATTGCCAGTTCTCACAAGTCTGATGACTGGTGCTGAACTGCTCTTCATAGTTAAAGTCAGAGTTATTGTATGTCTAGCAGTTTCAATCAGTTTATCTTGGTGTCGAGAATTTTGACCAAATTCTGGCTGACTGGCTGCTAAATTGCTGCTGGACCCAGCCAGCACAGAGATTCCTGTTACAAGTCTGATGTGACTCACTGTATTTTACTGTCTCTCAGCTCTTGGAGCCTTCAGTTTCAGGTAAATTGCTGCTAGTCCCTGGCAGCACAGTCATTCTTCCTTCCAAGCCCCATAGACTCGTGACCATACTTTACTGCCTCATGACTTTGGGAACCCTGAATCCCTCTCACCCTGTGAGTCAGAGTCAGAGTTAATTTATGACTGGTGGTTTTTTGCCCCACCCGCAACTGTGGTGCAGATAATTTTGTTTTGCATTCATTGCAATTTTAAGAGGTGGGTGTCTGCTACAATTTCCCAGGTGGGGCAAGCATAAATCATTACTGACCCAAGCAGTGCTTTGTGAAGACTTCATTTAAGGTAACACTTAAACGCTCACTTCTGAATAGAGAACAGATTGTAATAATTGTTCTGAAGACCTTGGCTCAATAAACAAGCAAGCCATCACCAAGCAATGAGAGCTATGTGTCGCTGCCAAGGCTATATAGCAATAGTTGTCGAGGCAACTTGGCTAGTAAGTGGATTACATGGAGCCTGCACAGAGAAATGTTTGAAGCCAGATCATTCAGATCGCTTGTTAGAATCTACTTGCTTTTCAAAAGTGAGCATTTAAACACCAGAATTAAACTAACCATCCATAAGGCACAGATCAGGTCAGTAATGACATGCTTGCCCAGCCTGGGAACTAGAAGCAGACACTTACCTCTCAAAATTGCAGCACCTCTAAAACTAGTTTCTCCACTCAAATGGAAATTTCCCTAGGTGCAAATCAGGTTGAAATTTGCTCACAGCTTTCAACCTTCCATATGTATACGATTATGAATCAAAATTGCCCAGGCAACAAGCAGAAATCATGAGAATGAACATGTTCACAGCATAGGACAAAGCAAAGCCAGACATAGAAAATATAAGAGGCTTAAACTTGTTGGTGGTCAAAGTGACTAAGCTGCAATTGTAGCAAAAGACAGGTAACATAAGCATGACCTGCTTTGCAAGGCCTGTACTAACAGAGAACTTTTCAATAACATGCTATATGTGTGATATGTAAACTTGACGAAAGGACACGCATATTCATAAGAGACAAAGTCATCTTCTCAGAGAGGATGTTATGTAAGGACTATGGCCACAAGGGTTCAGTTGAAAAGAAATCTCTGGTCATAAATCTCAAGGCTCTTGATGCCAAGATGAACTTTTTGTTGGTAAACCACCAGTCGTAAAGTAACTTTAGACTTTGACTTTGACTGTGAACTTGGCCAGTTGCCATCCATAGTAGGTGAGAACCAGGAGTTGCCATCATGAGTGAGTGATGGCTAGGAGTTGCAGCCAGGAGGAGATGAGGGCTAGTGAGAACCAGGCAATGAGTACATAGTCATAAATCAGCGTTGCTGTAAGGGGTTAGTTATGAGATTGTAGCCAGCCAGTAAGGTCATGGATAGGAGAGCTGAGGAATCTACGTTATTAAGAGCCATTACCAGGTAAAAACTGGTAAAGACACAGAAGACTTCATGGGTAGGTAGTACAGTGATTTATATAGTGTGTAGATCTGTGAAGCTGTGGGAATTACTTGTAGTTATGAGTTACAAGTGTTCAATAATTCCAAGTAGCAACCTGAATCACATGTCTAGTCACTAATACGTGACAGTATTTACAAAGTATGATTTCCCTTATGGCTACACCTCACTCAGTCTCTTATTACTGAATTGTGTTTGTTGCATTTTGTAATTAGTACTTCATACCAAGATTTCCATACTTGTGCTNTTGCTGTCTGCTTCTTTTCTGGCAGACCGTTTTAGATTGTGAACCCTTGTCATAAAGGGCTCACATCTGCTGGGCATTTTCTTCTCATTTCACACTGTGCTCTGGGGAATGCTATATTAAAGAGAATTTTGAAGGCTGTCCCTTGGTGTGGGATAACCAGAGGCTTCACACAACAAACAGGTGAATAAAACATATGCTTGCTATTTTGATTTTTTATCTTGTGACAGGTTTATACAACAGTCTCTGACATATAACAATTGACAGCAGTACAGATTTTCAGTGTCATCATCTATGTTTAGTTTGCTTTAAGGTACTTCTCATTTTATGTATCACTGAAGGTTTAGGAGATATTTAAAAAGGGGCACAGTTTTAATAAGATTAATCATTTAATTCGGGCTGTGAGCTCCTGTGGAGAGAGTTTAGATTTGGTATTGTTAAGGTTAAAGAAATCTGCAATAGAGTTTATCATTTAATCCAGAATGTGAGTCTCAGACCATAAAATTGATTACCACAACAGTAGGTTTGCTGAAGTTTCATAGTGATAAGAAACTGCAAATTATATTCATGCATACTCTGTAGAAAGTGAATGCCTAATTACTCGTATGTGTGTAAAAATTCTTCCTGTTCCAGAATGATACCACATTTTGTAATGAATCAAAAATACTTTTTTTCAAAAGAAATATTAATTATTAATATTCATCAGAAAACATAAGATTCCCAAAAGATGTAATATAGTTAAGATAACTTATTATATTAAAAATGAATGTATTCAAAATTCAAAGAGTTCTTCGTTTATTACATTTGATGAAACTTCCAATAATGACTTGAATAATATGTAGTAAATAATGATCTCCCACCTTAGGCCCCAGTATCTGGTGAAAGAGAAAACTGTTTTCACTTTTTCTTCAACAGGCACAATGCCCATCACAGCTGGGATAACCAGCAGAACATAAATCATCACCATTTTGCTGCTTACGCCAGTAGTGATAATGAGACCATACGCCACCATGACAAAGCAGCACACTGCACTAAACACACCACGATATTTGCTGGGGTAAACTGCAAACAGATTACAGTGAGTCTTCGTATACATAATAACATCTTCCACATAACATGGCATGTATGTGTATAATTTGAGATTATATTTGACTGTGTATGTGTGTTATGTGATTGTATGTTGTCATTCTTATGCTGTAGTGCATTTGACATACTTAAAGGTGACAGCTCCATGTCCAAAGTGCATCGTCTAAACAGTAAAGATCCAACTAAATTAATTGTTTTAATGGAGAACTAAGGCAATTAGATAAAGATACAAGAGGGATAAAAGGAAGTAGGATAAAGGATGAAGATACCAAAATACTATTCCCCTCATTGAATTTGAATGATATTATCTATTAGTAATATAGCAAAATTAACTGTATCTTTGACAGATTAACACAACATATTAGAACTCAGTGTGCAAAAGGCATATAAATCAACTGGTTTATCAGGATCAGTAATTTTAAACAGGCAAGCAAATAATTATCTCTGTATGCAGTTTATTAAGTATAGATGCAAGAAAGATAAAATAAATTGTTTGAGGATGTGGATATATTTTCAATATCACACAAGACTGTAATAACATATATATGAGCCAGGCTGGCTAGTCAGCACAGCGATTGGCTGTGTGCTGGATGACTGATGTATGATTTCCAGCAAGAACCATCATGTCCAGACACACTCTGAGGCCCACACATCCTCCTATTCAATGGGTGTTAGGGATGCAGGAAGTGAAGCTAACAGTGCTTATCTTTGTCTGGTACTGAAGCTAATAATGCATGCAGATTTTTCTACATCTCCCATACATCTTCACTGGATGGTGCTTAGGCACAGGGGCAATCTTATCTTTACCCATGTTAGGTAAGCGTATTTGAATGGTAGTTCTATTCAGGGTTGTCTACCAAGAAAATTAGAACCAGATTCTGTACAAAATGTTCAGTGGTCCCTTTGTTATTTTGCATGATGGAAATACTAATAATAATAATTCAATTCAATTCAATTCAATTCTTTATTATTAATGTGCCGAGTCAACAGCCGCAAGGCCAATTACAGACTCAGCACAGTGTAGATGACTGAATTACATTACATACAAACTTATTAGAAGTCAAATACAAAATACAGTTAAGTAATTGGAAGAAATAATAACGAATAAATGTAAAAGTAAACAAACAAATAAGCGATAATTATAACAGTAATAATAATTCCATTATCATTAAACTAAGTGCTATTACGAATAGAGGAATGAAACATTAATATTTAATCAAGAATTAAATAGTATAGATTTTCTGAGGAAAATTACGTAATTCATTTTGCTTTATATAATAATATATAATATAAATACTATATAAATACTAACAGTTACTATACTAATAATATACTAATAATATAAATACTAACAGTTNGATGTGGATATATTTTCAATATCACACAAGACTGTAATAACATATATATGAGCCAGGCTGGCTAGTCAGCACAGTGATTGGCTGTGTGCTGGATGACTGATGTATGATTTCCAGCAAGAACCATCATGTCCAGACACACTCTGAGGCCCACACATCCTCCTATTCAATGGGTGTTAGGGATGCAGGAAGTGAAGCTAACAGCGCTTACCTTTGTGTGCTACTGAAGCTAATAATGCATGCAAATTTTTCTGTCTCCCATGCAACTTCACTGGATGGTGCTTAGGCACAAGGGCAATTTTATCTTTACCCATGTTATGTAAGAGTATTTGAATGGTAGTTCTATTCAGGGTTGTCTACCAAAAAAATTAGAACCAGATTCTATACAAAATGTTCAGTGGTCCCTTTGTTATTGTGCATGATGGAAATACTAAAAGGCCAAAATGAAAACGTTAAACCTTCTCTTGTTAAGTTCTCCAACAAAAGGCATTTCTTTATTTTATATTTTCACAGTAATTTAAAAGGTCTTTTCAGGAAACAGTAAATGATCAAAATGATGAGACCAGGAGATGGGAGGACAGGCTTCAATGTGATATCTCATTCCAATGTGTGTATGCATTCAGACAACATAACACAATACTGTGAAGGCATATAGAGGTGAGGAGACCCCACAGTAGGCTTCAGGATTTTTTCCGTCTGTTTATAATTTTTAGGTTCTGGTTTCACTGAACCACTGTTGTTTTAATCAACTGGTTCAGTTAAAGCAGCTCCAGCAAGCTCCTATTTCAGGACCATATACACTGAAGCAAGGAGCACTTTAAGTCAACAGATATTAAACAGGGATTCAAATGAAATTTGAGTTTACATGACATACTTGCTGCTGTAGTGGGTAAGTTTTAGTTACAGTTGATTTGATGAAATTGATATAAATCTCCTATTATAAGTGTGATATTTCTGGATGTATAGTATTACACAGAAAATGAGAAAGATTAATTTTCATGGATTTTTTGCAGATTAATTAATGACGCTTTCAGCATTAGTACTATATTGTGTCAGATAGCAGGATGACAGATGCAGGATGAATTGGGAAGAATATGGAGCGAAGAGATCATTGCCGAATTGAGACAATAGCCCAGCATTTGCCTGGAGAGAATGAAGAAAACCACAAAGAACTTCAGTCAGGCTAGCCAATGTCCTAGCCAAAATCTGAACTAAGAACCGCCCAAATACAAGTCTAAAGTACTATCACCAGACCAGCTTGTTTGGTCATTTTCTTATAGGTCTGATATTTTGACATATTCATAGAGCTCACCTGGTCTTGTTGAGAATGAGGAAGCAACGAACACTAAGGGCAACAGGGAGGCCTCCAGAATCTGCATCATGTGACTGGTTGACTGTTCTTCCTGGAGAAAAATTGAGCAGAAATCATTAGTCTATGAAATTAACTTTCCTAATGATGTCTTTGAATTTTTTTCAATTGACCTAATCTTTCCGGCCACACTATGGCCCTGGGGTCAACTCAGCCTCTAACAGAAATGAGTACAAGGAATGTTCTTGGAATATTCTTGGAGGTAAGGGGAGGCCAGCACATAAGGCTGACAACCTTGCCTGATTGCCGATTGTCTAGAAAATGTGGGTACCTCAACATCTCACAACCCTATGGGCCTCCATGCCCTGTTACAGGGATACCTTTACTTACTTAATTTTACGTTATTAAAATATGTTACCCTCTTAGCTTATCTGACAAGTTGTGACTTCAGAGTGTTTGATTGTCAGTAATTAGTACTGCGGAAAGAATGGAGACAAATTACTATAATTTTATGTGAAGGACAGATGAATATATTACTTAGTCACAGTGCTTGAGGTGGAATGAAAATAGAACTAGGATGCCATCCCGCTGCATCCCATCCCACCTCAAGCCCTAANAGCTTTACTTACTTACTTTTACATTATTAAAATATGTTACCCTCTTAGCTTATCTGACAAGTTGTGACTTCAGAGTGTTTGTTTGTCAGTAATTAGTAATGCGGAAAGAATGGAGGCAAATTACTATAATTTTATGTGAAGGACAGATCAATATATTACTTATTCACAGTGCAATACTTGTCATAAATGAAATGGATTAAAATAAACAGTTCTAAAAATTGAAGAAGTTAGAAAATGAGAACTCTGTACACAGAAACTGAAGGAAGGGATATACAGCATGTGCAGACTGCATTATGTCTGATATAGAATATTACTCCCTTCATGCCAGTTTCTTCCTTATTTCCTCACATCAGTAATACCAGGTCTCCTTGCTGAGACTAGTCACTCTAACGGTCCCCTCATATTAGTTTCCCCTATGTGTGTATGTTAAAGGAAGGTCATGGTTTCAAGTCCTGATGAGGTCATTGGATTTTTCAGTTCACCTAATCCTTCCAGCCACACTATGGCCCTGGGGTCGACTCAGCCTCTAACAGAAATGAGTACCAGGAATTAATTAAATACTTTTCCTGGGTAGTAAAGCGTGGCCAGCACGCAAGGCTGACAACCTTACCGCCATCTTTGAGCTGATTGTCTAGATAATGTGGGAGCCTCAACGTCTCACAACCCTATGGGTCTTCACGGCCTGTTACAGGGATACCTTTACTTTGTTTTTTGTTTTTTTTGTATATGTTAAAAGAGAATCAGTTTCTGAAACGTAGCATTTTAAGAGTAAAAACTTTATGTAGGATAAAGCCCAAGCTATTATGACAAACCATAATACACCTTCATAAAATGCATTCTGAAATGAAGCAGTAATACAATTCAGGTAACCAGACCTATAGAGAAACTATTTAAATATAAACAGCTACTTGATAAAATACACTTGCCCATAGTATCACAATTTATTTCATACTAATGATGTATGTTTTTTCTTTTCTTTTCGGTGCTGCATCAGTTTCAGTAAAGAAAGGTCCATTATTTCTTTGCTACTGTTGATGTTGTAATCCTATAAGAAAGACTGGGATAATCTGTTCTAAGTGTAAATAAATTGGTTACCATTTCTCTGTGAAATTCTTTTTGTGTTTTATTTTAAAATGTCAATCTAATTACCATACAAACTTTGTAATTTATTGTTCTGAAAACAAATGTTGAGAAACAAAAAGCAGGTTCACCTTAGCAAAGTTTTACTTAATTCCACCCTGCTATCCAATGGGTATTTAGGGATATTTCCCCAGGGTTAAAGCAGCAGGGGTGTGAAGCCAACCACACACCTCCATCTAGTGCTGAGGTCAAGAATGGTGGAGCTATACCTCCACTCCCCTATATATCTTCATGCCATATTGCTTAACTATTTAAACACAGAGACAAATTTAGCTTTACCTTTTCTTTATATCCAGACTTTATATACATAATTCTTGGATAACAACACATGCGTATGAGAATGCATGTAATTGCAAAGAATGATACACAACATTACATGCACTCTTACCTTACTATGTAACCCAAATTAAGTACCATAACTTCTTTCCACACTTGTGTAGTCTTATGTTTACATATGAGAGAAACTTTTCTGATGATTTGGTTGCTTAATGTGACTACAGTAAGAAACCTGCACTAGGCACAATATGTGAGGCTTACAGAACAATTTCTCATGCTATCCATAAATAATGTATAAATTAAAACAAATCAAAATATGCCTTAAAATATGAAGAAAAAAAAAAGTTATTTTATTATGAGCTATGATTTTCTTGGTCCTTGAAGTTTCTGTCTCTCATTCCAAGAAAACTATAGAATAATGCTTAGTTGAAGTGTAACTTTCTTCATATCCATAAATGATCAACTGTAGGAAATCACAACAGAAATAAAGAAGCACAACAAATTATTATGCCATCTCACATCAGACACCCCAAAATGACATTTCACACAGCCATGATTTGTGAAGGAATACTTTCAAAACCATATATGTTAAATTGTGTTGATATTTTCTAACTCTTCCACGTACCTGTGTATGTTATTCCACAATGGCAGGAATTAAGCTGACTCATGTAGAGCTTGCATGCTAAACAGCTCATTAGAAAACAATACAAACTTTCAAGACAAAAGATATGTGGTTATTACATTTAAAAGCAACGTTCTCTTTATGAAGTTTATCAAGAAGTGAATCTATAATTGTATCAAGTAAAAGTAAAGGTGAAGTTGAAATTAAACCTTTCCTTAATTAGTCACAATTCAGAGAAGACATACAAGAGTGGAATATTAACTCATTGCATTCTTAACCTCAGCACTAGATGGAGGTGATAGTCAGCTTCGCACATCCATGGTTTGAGAAAAATAATCTTATAATAAAATTTGAAAAAACATTTGCTATGTGATTTCAACCAAAACAAATTAGAGTTCCGTTAAGACCACAAATAGATTTTAAAAATTTATAAATTATTATCTCTAAATCAGAACTGAGATTTTTAGGTAGTTACATCACAGAAACCCCTAAAATGGGACACCCATGCTCGATTTTTAAGAGCCAATCTATGCAAGGTAGTTTATATGATAAAAACAAAGAAGAAGAAATGTTGAGCCCATATATGATAAGAAATATCTATTTTTCAAATTTTAGTCTTGTCTGTGGTATGGTATTATATTATGGGGAGGGAATAACAAATGTGACAAACTCTTTAAACTGGGGGGGGGGGAAAAGGCCATTCAAATTATCAGTGTAATAAATAATCTAACGTCATGCCAACAAATTTTTAAAGATTATAATATTTTAACATTGCCTACGCTATACATTTTTGAAGTGATAAGTTTTATTACAAAATATAAAGACTTTATGGCAAAAAATGTGGACATCCATAATTACAACATGTGAAGAAAACTAAATTTACATGTAAATCATTGCAATACAGTTATTTAAAAAAAACGTTATAGATATGGGTGTCACCTTGTATAATAAGATCCCTGAGCTGTTAAAATTAAAAAAGACATTATCTCTTTTAAGAGGGACTTAAAATCCTTTTGTTAAAACATTCCATTTATTCTGTTGATGAATTTATGTCACTTAAATTCTGAAGTGAGTGTGTTATTATGGTTTTATGTTATGACAAATATCTTGTCCTCATTTAATCAGTAAAATAAAATATTGGATGTTGGGTTTCCTTTGGTATTGAATTTTTGAAAGTGGGATGATGTACTGTATGACTGATATGTATGAAATCTGTAGGTAATTAAATTTCATGGTATTGCTGACTCATGTATGATGTGTATGTTACTTTAATATGTAGTAATTGACTTGGTCTAAATTCGGAGGTTGTATCTCCAAATATGGGTTCACAGAACAAATAAAATGATTGATTCATTGATTGATTGATTGGTTGATTGATCTCTTCAACCCCAGGAGGAAGGTGCCGAGCAACTTCTTCCAATGATTAATGCAAGTTGCCTTTATTAAGATTTGCACTTATGTAGAATAAATAGAGTAATAAAGTGGTTAAGTATTGATTTAAAACGAAATTAATACATTGGTACTTTAACTTTACCATAAGTAGAATGTCAGGCTACATACACATCTTCCCAATTTGGCTGTGTTAACTTCCAGCTTACATTACAGATCCTCTTCTCCTGACCCCTCTTCATTCTAAAAACCAATCTGGGGCCCTTGATATCTTTTCCCAACAGACAGTCCCCTACTGCATGTTGTGCATCCCCTCCTGGTAGGAACATGTTATTATAATGTATTTCAAAGGCAATACATTTGTCTTTTCTTACCATTTTTAATGGATATTTATGAAGGAATGAATTATATAGACATTTCTCCCCTTTCTAGTTTCTCATATGAATGAAATGCTCTACTTTATTATATGCAACTGAGAGTCATCATTCTATATTTTATTCCCTTTTTATTTATTCCTAAAATTGGAATGGATGAAAATGAACAAAACAACTGATTCTAATTAATTATGAAACATGTCACTTTCAATGTGGATTTATAAAACAAGTTTCCCAGCTGTAATAAAAGCCAGTGCCATATGCAGGCATAGGCACTGGCAGGGGTATTTGTGTAACTCTCTCAGCATAGTGCACTGGCCATGGGCTGCACAACCAGAAAATGTCGTTTGATTCCTGGTGGGAGTAGAGATTCTTCTCTTCAACACTGTCTTCAGACTAGTTCTGGGACCTGTGAAGTGACCTGTCCAATGGGTAGCAAGGGAAACTTTACCCAGGGAGTGAACTTTATTAGTGTACATGTAACTGTGTTCTGAAGCAGCATTTTTTTTTATGTTAAAAGACTGTGATATTGTGAAATATGTTGCTTGGTAAATAGGTATTTGTATTGGACTTTCACTCAGGTCTATCTGGTAGAGTTAGGATGGTGTATCTTTTCAGTCTGTGTTTAGTTTGCTGTTGTCTGGTAGGTTGTTTTTTCTAATTTTCTTAAGTATTTGGCATTCCACTTTTTTATTTCACTGAGCACTGTCTTCATCTGTATATCTTCATGGATCCCGTGGTTGTTTATGTACCAAGGTGCTTTCAGAATGTATTGGAGGGTATTGGACTGAAAACACTGGAGGATTTTAATGTTGGAATTAGTGGCTGTCCCCCATAGCTGAATTCCATAGGTCCATATGGGTTTGAGTACTGCTTTGTGTAGGAGGAGTTTGCTTTCTGTTGATAGTGTTGATCTTCTTCCAAATAGCCATTGCATTTGTTTCACTTTTTGGCTGAACTGTTTCCTTTGGTTTTGATGTGCTTTGCTCACATCAGTCTTCTATGAATATGCATGCCCAGGAATTTCACTTCATTCTTCTGGGGTAGATCAACACTGCACATTTGCACTGTTGGACAGGTTTGGTTGTGTAAGGTGAATGTAATATGCATGGTTTTACTTTGATTTATTTTAATTCTCCATTTCTTCTCCCAGTCATGAGTCTAATTAATGGTAGCCCAGAGTTTCATTGAGGCTATTGCTAGATGTTCATGTGTGGCTAAGACTGCTGTATCACTTTCATGAGAATTATCGGGGAATACCTGTTTTCATCTATATTGATCCACAATTAGCATAGTTTGCAAAAGGCCATAAATGGAATTTTCCATATATCCCATATACGACCTTTCCACAGATCTCTTGAAATTCGTTATGTTAGACTTTCATTACTTTACATGTCATTCTTTATTTTATGTCAGCTTAATAAACCTCAGATAACGCCATTGGTAATTTTGAGTACTGCAGTATAGAGTACAGCCTTTCAAATCATGTTTAGTGTTAAAGTTGTCAGCACATATACCAACCACATTGCTTTAAAAGGTTGCAGAAGTTTGGCAATAACATTCTTACATTTGAAGAAGTGAATTATTTATTTAAAGATTGCTTCTTAAACTTTGCGATAGAGCTATGAGAACTGCGAAGAATTAATTTGTATTTTTCTGCTGTTGTTTCCTTGCAGAATGGGAAACCAAGCCACACAAAGAAGAAGACAATAGTTAATGGTGTTATGATGTTATAATAACGTTCGTGCTTTCAATTTCTCTCTGATATTTGGCCTCTGTTCTGTATATGATGTTCAACAGAATCATTAATTAAATATTATCGTTGGATTTTGATAGACTGAAATATTTTTTTTGTATGTGTTAACTATGTGACTTGATAGCAGAATCACCAGAAATATATTTCATTCTTTGGTTATGTACTCGTATTCGTGTTAAAATCCGAAGTTTTACAGAAATAAACGTCTGACAAGCTGCCGTCGTTCATCTTTTAAATCATCCATTTTTGTATCTGTTTACTCATACATACATCCTTATGCTTTGTCTTTAATCCACACATTTATTTATCTAACTATTCGCCTTTCATAAATTTTTCTATCAATTTATATATTCGTTCATCCATCCATTATTTTATTCACGCTCAGAAAGTTTCTGGTACCATCAAGAATGATTAATGTTATTATTATTAATTCTGACAATATAAATTGAGTAAATGCCTTTAGTTTCAAACTCTGCCAGATGCCTCTCAGAATTCTACTACCCGATTCGTTGTAAAGATTTTCGTACCAAGTTTTAACATTCCAAAAAATAACAATAAAATTCTAGTAATAAAACCAAGTATGGAATTGTGTTTAAAAATAAATTTCTCCTGATATTTTTCTCGGGTCTTGTGGTGCATTTCTGTGTTGTGGGGTGGGAAGCGCTTGCATTGATCGCGGTGTACTCGTACATGCGGGATCATCAATGCCGCAGTGCCACCTAGCTCAGCGGTTGGCAGGTTGAAAACGTGCTCGTCTGAAATTAAACTTGTACACAGGGCGGTCTTGTATTTTCATCTAAGACAGTAACAAGCCATTTTGTAACTTCATATGTAATTCTCTTGCTTTAAATGCTTCCACATGTCACGAATCAGTGCAGAGTTTGTAGAGAATTCCTGTTATTGTGGATTGCTTCTTACGTGTATATTAGTCTTAGTCATCGAGGCATTTTCAACTGGCGTGAAACGATGAAAATATAAGGTTACGTGGATAATCCTAAGATATAAGAAGAAGGATATCGTGGCCTTTCAGAAGATAGTCTTACCTTCCTTAACAGCAGCTGGAGAAACTATTGAAAATTATGAAACCTAAGAAGAGTCGAGAGCCAGTTATGGGTATCTGCTACGTGAAAATTGCCAGACATAACTTGTGCAAATTCAAAATTTTTAATTCACGTCCCCCCAAAAAATCACTTATGTATGAACAGTTCTACTGCCTCTGTGGTCTAGTGGTCAGAGTCCCTGGCTACAGATCCAGAGGTCCTGGGTTCGATTCCCGGCGCTACCAGATTTTCTGAGAAGTAGTGGGTCTGGAACGGGGTCCATTCAGCCTCGTGAGGATAATTGAGGAGCTATTTCAAGGAAATATCGGCTGCGGTCTAGAAAACCGAGATTAACGGCCGTGGAGATCCGTTGCGCTGATCGCGTGACACCCTCCATCCGCAAAAGTTGGTACTTACTTCGCTGACAAGCGGCGGTCGCTCGGTCGGTACAGTTCGCTTGCGGACTACGGTCCAGGAGTTTATGGACAACCTTGGTTCACATATCGTCCTACAGTGGCTCACCAGACGACACGGTGGAATGGTTAACACTCCTGCATGGTATTCGGGAGGCCTCAAGTTCAGAACTCTGCCTGAATCCTATCCTGATATAGCCTTTCGCGGTTCTCCTCAGTCTCTTGAGGTAAATGCTGGAATAATAACACAAATTATGACATGATAATTTATTTCCAAATTCCTTACAGTTCATTAATCACACCTATCATTGAACGCTAAATAATATGAGCTATGGAAAGCGTCGTTAAATAGGTCATTAATAGGTCTGAATTAAACGCAGTAGTTTGTAACACATTGCTGACAAGTACAGAATCGAATGTAGAATACGCGCTGCCGCCATGTTATATTCTACACAAGAAGTACGTAAGAAAATCTAAATATTCTTCTTTGCATTGCCAAGAACAATTCGGGATGTTACACCCACGTCACAAAGCTCTCACAGCCGCATGATCGTATTACTGACGACTGTAAACCACAAAGCAGAGAAGAAAACTGATTTCTAATGTCTCTACTTTCAAACGAATTCTCGCGAAACTTGTCAACCAATTTAAAAGATT